ACTGAAGAAAACTATAACCATAACTATGTGTCTTCAATTCTATCAAAGACCACAGAAGGATAATATATAAACTCTAGAATTGACAGAGACAGTCATTTTGATCTCTATGCATCATTCTAGAATTCTCAGTAACTAGAGTGCTACTAATATGCCTCACACCTGGGTTGTGTCCACTGCCCATGCTGTACTCTCACTACTCCTTGCTGTGTGGGAAAAAAATCTATGTGTTTATTTTGCTTTTAGATTCAGCTGAATGAGACTCACATTGGTTCCTCAGCCAAACTGGCTGTGCTATGTGCTATGTGCTACCTCACATTTTACATGTAAAGAAACTGTCCTATGTATATTAGCCTGCTGTGACCCCAACAGCTTGGGTCCAGAAACTCTGACTAGAGATGTCAAGGGAACAAAGAAAGGACAAACAAGTGGACAGTAAAGCTCGGATCAGGTTGGGACCAGGTAGGGTTTTGCTACCACAACAACCACCAGCCTCAGCAATGTTTATTATGTGCAGCAAAAAGGTAGAGGGGTTAGTAGTAAATTTCTGTAGGCATGTAATCTCTGGCTGTCAATATCTGGGAAGATGGAATCTGTAGCTGCTAGTATTTGCACATGCTGATCAATTGTTCATAAAAACTCACACTCATACCCCAAAGGAAGCTTTGTCGTCCCTCTTGAGCCTTACCTGAGTAAGGCATTGCCACTCCTGTGAGGTTTGGCCATACACTAAGGGCTTCATTGAGGTCCTCCTGCACTCACTACATTAGCCTGCAGTGCCAGCTGTTCATTGGCATGTCTATTGCCCTCTGGGGTACAAAATTTCTTTTAAAGTAAAGATTGCTATTATAAACTCAGTTGTATCCCTCCAAAGTTTGTCTGTTGAAACCCTAAGTCGTCAAGAGCTCCATGCAGCAGATGAGGTCAAATCTGATGAGATGCATGTTCTTAGAAGAGACACCAGAGCCCTTACTGTTCCCACTTCTACATGCACAAAGAGTACCTTGGTGTCAGTGTCCCTTTTCCTTGTGGGTCATTGGCCACTGACCCTTGAGGGCAAAGGGAGTAGACGCAGGTTCTCAATAGTTGTAAACATTACAGAAAGAACTTCCATGAGTCACTTCAGAGAGACAGCTCTTTTATTGAAGCAATGAAGCTAGCTTATATAGCTCAAGTCAGGGGCATGGTGTGGAAAAACAAATAAACAAGGGAGGGAATACACCTAATTTGAAATACACAGACCTAATTAAGGACAGATGAATGTTAATGATGCACCAATTCAAATAC